GTTCACGAGGCACGCACACGAGGAGCTCGTGGGTAACGTAATTCAATAGCGTAACGTGAGCTGCACATTCTTCGAGTGATATACAACTTTTATGGCAGAAATAGCAGTTAGACACAGTTAGAAGGGCAATAACACATTAAAATTTAATTAAAAATAAATGTATAATGTTACGAACTTAGAACTACTTAGGATAAACGAATGTAGTTTCAGGTTACAATTTGAAGTCATTCTAGAATAAAAATTTAGGTTTATTTGGATTTTTTTTTGGTAGTTACGAGGTTGGTCAAATTGACCAATACTGTTTTGAGATAGGGTAGAGAAAATAACATACAAACTATAAGGATTTAGTGAAAAAAAAACGTTTGAAATGCAATTAGGAGGATTTAGGGATTACACAAATGAAATTTGAGATTCTTGAGATGAAGTATTTTTAATTTTAACATGAAAAATACTTTGAAGACTGATAATTTAAATACATCCTTTTGAAATTATGAAATTAAAACACATTTAACAATTAGTTAAAAAAAAGAATCAATATTTTCACAAACAAATTTAAGTAAAAATACTTCATTAAAAAAATCTGATTTTTTGTGTGCAAAAGGCTTCTATAAGTCTACAAAATTTTATAAAGATACACTTAAAATATTAAAAGTTATTAGTATGTAAACTATAACAAGGTTATGAGGTCAGTCCCAGGGACCGAGCCCGTGTCGAAATAGTTAAAAGTTATAGCATTAAAACTATAACAGGCACAAAATGGTTACGAGGTCGGTCCCAAGGACCGTGCACATGCTGAGAGAGTTAATATCAATGTATATGAATGAACTTAATATTATAATTTATGTTATGATTCGAAGTTTTATTTTATCCAAGTGCCCTTTACTACAAAATAAACCTTTAATATATATTTAAAACTTCAGATATACTCTCACGTGACCAACAAGCTATAAAAAATTTATAATTTGGCTCTCTGTATCTTCAATAATATAATGGTAATAGAGTAGAGGTACATCTAGCCACTAACAGCTGCCACACCCACATTCAACAGATTTGTTCGAGCTTTATCCCTTCCACGTAGATGTTACACACAAATGTGTGTATATACCAATTAGAAAGAGCTCATTTTACTGTATAAACTAACAATGGTTATTCTGAAATTCGTGTCAAATCTTTGTCACAGAATACATGAAATTGACTATAGTAATGTTGGCTGCTTGATCGACTATGGTACTTTTGGTTTTCTTACCTAAATATGTTATATTTAGAGATACAGTTTAAATTGTCTTACTATTATACTTTAGTTAATTACGTATTATTTATGTTTTGAAATGCATAATTGAAAGGTTTAACATTTTTTAAATATACATCATACTTTGCGTCCATTATCGAGGCTTACAATATTAAGCATTGAAGGAAAATTTTGCCAAAAGGTTACGCCTGTTTCCAAAAGAAACTGTAATATGCCTCGAGGGCACAGTTGACTTGTGTCAAGATGAGTAAGTTTCAAAAGACAATAAAGGAAAATAAAACATTGACAATTAACTACACGTGAAAAGGAAAAGAAATTAAATTATGAATTTAAGGAAAGGAACCTCTTTAAAGATATTCTACGACAAATTAAAAGGTATGTCTTTTTTTTCTATTTCCTACTTTTAATTATTTTGTTGCATTGTATGTTGTTGATAACAGCTAGAGTTAGCAATACAATAGAGAAAAAGAAAATATAAAAATTTACCTTAAAAAACTTTTGATATCCTTTTAGAAGGTTCTGGAGATTATGCAAATGAAATATGAAACTATAAGATGAAGAAAAGTATTTTTATACTTAAAATGAAAAATCACCTTGCACGCAAACTATTTAGAATTAAAGAAAGAGTTAACTAAATACTTGATATATAAATGAATGAAAATTATTTCAAGTGCTATAAGCACTAAATTTATTCACTCTCAAAAGTATAAAAACAATTTCAATTATGGAAATTAAAATCAGTTAAGAGTAATTCCAATAATATCCATAATATGTTTCAAACAATAGTAGGCAGACAACTCATAACATTACAGTGGTGATTATCAATTTTAATAGCTGCAGGTAAATATACATATGATGTCACAAGCACCTAATTATCAAGCCTTGCATTATTTACAGTATTTACAAATCAATCCAACTACAATTCAGTTAAAATAACAGGAAGAAAATTTGAACTAAAATTGATCAATTATTTGCAACCAGTTAATAAGTAGTGGTCAATTTTCATAACGGCACACCTTTACATATCAAAGATAAAGCAAAAAATTCTGGTACATGTTTTGTGTTTATTAACTTTAAATTACAAACAAAAAATCAGCATAATGTATCAAAAAATTAATTTTGCGATCATAATTGAAAATACTAACAAATAAATTTAATACTTACCTAGTAGGACTAAAATATCAGTGATGATTGAAGGTACACTTTTCTGTAGATTCTATTAAAATAAAAACATTAGATAAGTGCAAACAAGTCAAAAACTCCCCAGAACAATGTGTACTAACAAAATAATGAAAAAATTCTAGCAAGATTGGTAGGAACTCTTTTACACCATGTTTGTATCCCACAACATTTATTAAAACCATCAAAACAATTACAGCCAACAAACTACCATGCTGCACATGAAAACAATTAAAAGAATTATTCTTGGATTATATAGTAAACTTAAGGTGCATGAAAAAATGAGACCCACACTTTACAATTGAGCACACGACAACAAAAACTAGCACCTAAAACTCAGCATGATGAAACATCTTTACTAATAAAACAGCCTGTGTGTACGTGTCAGTGACATAGCTCCAAGATGAATGAATCTAGGAATCTAGAAACCTGAAACTTTGCATGCATACTAAGGGAATTCTGAGGGTGTGCACCTGGGTATTATTGTTATCTCAAAAAATTTTAGCCAGTGTTTTTTGCCTATAATTTTGCCCTATAGCCCTTCAGCCATAATAAGAGAGAAGTATGATGTCATCTGTCACTTCGTACAACAAATTGTTAGGAAATAAGTGTTAATAATAAGTTTTGTAACAACATGTTATAAAAAAAACATGTAAAAATGTTAGAATTCATATGATTGTCATTGATCTTGTGTACAAAAATTCTCAAGTACCATATAAATCAAGTTATTCAACCATTCATTATACTCTCAAAATATGCTAAAAAACCATACTAACTTTAACCTCTTCCACTGACAATAATGAATACATGAGACAAAGAATCAATTAAGTAAGCAGCAAATTTTGAACAGTCAAAAGTTTCTACATTTTTGCATAACTAGTTTAATTTGTTTCAACTCTAGTTAGCTGCTACTTATCATAATCCGAGGTATTAGGATGCAGCGATCATTGCCTTACAGTTGTCGTTTCTTCACTGCAATTTAATTGAGAAATTCACATATTAATCTTAATGGGAAATTATCAAAGTTTTGTCACTGAAATATTTAAGGTAAGCTCTATCCATTGATTATGTTAACTTTTCTGATAGTGCAGGCACACTCAGCAGTCTTGTAATCTTACAATGTATGTTATAATGACAGGTAGCTGTAGAACCCATAATGTCCATACATACGTACAACCTAAATGTTGTCATAATGAACAAATATTGCCTGTTTAGTGCAGGTATTGTGTAATGACAGTCAGCCAGGGTAAACTGTCGTGTCTTCTGCATGTTAGAAACTGTTGTGCTGATAATGGTCAGAAATTTTCAGGCACCTGGATAACCACCTGAATTACCCATCTGCGTAGGATTTTTTGTTATCTGTTCAAACACTACTATTATTCTTATCCTGTAGAAGAAGTGACTCTGAAACATGGGTACTTTTAATACTTACATCCACATCCAGGAAAACTAATGCAATAATCAAATACATTATAACCCCTCTTACAGGTTACTGATAATAGTTGAGTATAAAAATGTATTACTAAGAAAAAATACCAATGAGAAGCAGAAAATGTTTTGTACATGATAATGATGACCATGAAAAATAAGCATGGGAGCTATTTTCAATAATCTTCATTCTAATAATATTTAAAAAAAAAAAGAGTTTCAAGCAATTGCAAACCAAGAGAAATCAAGGGGGAATACCTCAGGAGCTAAAAGTTGGAAAACCAATAAACAGGAATGCAAGAAACAAGAAGTTTAAAACATTTAAAAAAACTGTTGCATGTGTTTCTTACGTTGTATACAAGAAACAAATTAGTTAGTGTTACAGAAATAATCAACTAATCACATTCAGTGTTTCTAATTATTACTGTTTTTGATTAATCTAACTATCCAAGTAGTTGATATATTGCCATTATGATTTCACATAACTTTTTTTAATTAATTTAAGTTTAATCAGCTTTGGATCGATAAGGCCTTGTGATCCAAATGTTTGCCCACCCCTAAAGGCAACTTGAATTCCAGGAAGGTTTTCTCTGGCTTTAGGATCCAATGGTCCTACCTGGGATGAGTATACGTGAAGACAACAGCACCTGGTGGTCAGATATCCTCCAGTCATGAATGTTGGCAGCAGTGATTTGGCCACTAGAAGGCTTTTAATGACTAGCAAGAAAATGAGGATTGGTTAATCCATAGATAACTCCATCACTGCTTTTAGCAAAGGCTGTGGCACAGGGGTGTTGGTCTGCTCTTATTGAGGTGGCTCAGCCACCAAAAACTTTGGCACCAATCCAATAACTAACTTCATAAAGTCCTGAATGTCTGATGCTTTGGCCAGAAATGCATCTTCAACCATAATCTCTACTGAATGGAAAGCCAGGCTGGTTCCAGTCATCATTGATTCAGTGGACAAATCCAGCTCCTAGCTAAACAATAAGTCCCAATCATTAAATCAGTTTACCACTGCAAGGTCCTCAGTGTTTTAGCATAAAAACTTTGGAAACAAAACCCACTGCAAGTTGAAGATATGACAGGAAAATGGATTCAGGTCCTGGCCTTAAAAATCAAAGGTTCAGACTATAAATGTAAGATGGGTGAAATCTAACTGGTTAACTCTATAATTATGTTCTTGGTCAAATTCACTAAGTTCATAACCATGGAGACTCATTATAGTTTTCATACTATATATTTTAATACAGTATGTGTATCTCCACAAAATTTGGCAGACTTTCAATAAACATTGCAAGTCTTTCATACACAAAAAATCAATTTCTTAATGAAGCAGTTTTACTAAAGATTTTTCCAAGAAAATAGCAAGTCTTATTTTTTCACTTGTCCAAGTGCATAGTGATTTTTATGTTAAGATTAAAGATACTTTTCTTCCTCTCAAAATTCTGAAATTTCATTTGTATAATCTCTAAAACCTCCTAAATAAATTTCAAATGTATTTTTCAATAAAAGTTTATATTTTATCGGTTATTTTCTCTACCCTATCTGTAAATAAGGTTGGTCAATTTGCCCAGACTCGTAACACACACACACACACACACACACACCAAAAAAAATCTAAATAAATCTAAATTACCCTTTTTTCTTTCTAAAATGACTTCATATTGCAAAATGAAACTAGATTTGTTTATTCCTAAATAGCCTTAAACATGTAAGGGTATACGTGTTTATACTTAAATTTTATTGTTTTATTGCCCTTTGAGCCATGTCTAACTAACATTCACACTATAAAAGTTTTAAATCACTTGGCAAACATGTAACTATTGAATTATATAACACATGAGCTACTTGCAAGATGCTTGTAAGCATACCTCTTAACAAATTATTATTATTTATTTTCCCTAATCT